AAAAAAAAAAAAAATAAACAGACACAATGTTACAGGGCATCCTCACAATCTTCAAAGAAGTCAAAGCACCAATCCTCACATCAAAACACAAAACACGCTGATTGTCGCTTCCGCTACGCCGGGGCTGCCGCACGACGACTCCTTCGGCAGCATTTGTGCCACACTGATGCAATACTTATGTAACACTGTTGTCTCACCAGCCGACTTTGCCTTATATAAGCATATTATGCGGCAAGTGCCCATTTGCATAAGCTCATTTTTTGCGTTTGCTTTTTTTTTGCTTTCACCCATAAGTTTCGATTCTTTGTTTTTGCTTTTACCCATAAGATTAGATTTGCTTTAATTTACTTCTCTTTGTAGTGCTGTGTTGTATCTTCCCCATTACTGTTGCGCTCAGTTCTTGCCTCGACCTCCCCTTGAGGCAAGAACGCAATACTCCAACTGGTCCAGAAATACTTTCCAAAGGACCGCGCTCCAAATTTTCCATGTCAAAACTGGATCAGGAAAGGGACCAACGACCCCTTTTGACCTGGCTTAAAGTACAACCCTGCCCACAACTAACTGAGCGGCTAATCCAGTGCAATCACCGAATGCAACAAATGTTCTTCAGCTTTCTACCGCTCTCGCAACTATCACAGTCCTAAAGTTAATAAACTAGACTACTGGCGTGCCCTGTATGTGAGTGTGTGGAAAACACTCAGTTATATATTTATAATTACGTGCATTAACTAAAGCAATACAACGCAAAATAAGAAAAGACTGTACAAAAAAGGTGGTGAGGTTCTGGGGAGCCGAAGCTCCCCAGAACAGAGATAAGTCGAAATGAGTAGCTTTCCCGAGTAGCTCTGGATCCCGAAGATGAAGAGGAGTGCTTTCATACCCCAGGGGTTAGAGATTACTAAGATTGCAACATTTTAACTGGGGTAGAGTGTCCAAAGGTTGAACTGGAGGCCGGGTATAGCGTCATAGTAACCAAATTGTTCCCTACGCTCTTTCTAACAAAAAACCATAAATCATTATTTGATATATTATTTGACACCCTTCCTAGAAAGACTCTCAGTCCTTTTTCCGACGTGGGGCATGGATAGTCCCACACTTTGCTAATTTTTTCAGGGTCCGCTTTCATTCCTTCCTCACAAATAAGATGTCTTAAGAAAAGCATTTCTTTCCGCAAAAGTTCGCATTTACTTGCTTTTAGCTTGAGTCTTCTTTTACTCGGCTTCTTCAGCACCACCTCTGGGACTACCAAGTGCTCGTCTAGCGTTGTTGTTGCTATCAGAATATCATCAATGTACACGAATACTTTGTCTCTTAGTAGCCCGCCAAATACCTTCTCCATTATGCGTTCGAAACATGACAGTGATGTCGATAAACCAAAAGGCAGTATACTGAATTCGTAATGCCCGTTCAGCGTTGCGAACGCAGTTATCGGTTTAGATTTTCCTTTAAATTTGATTTGCCAGTAACCCGACATTATATCTAATTTTGAAAAACACTTCTTACCTTCTAAGCTGTGCAGCATGCTGTCAATGTGTGGCAAAGGATACGCATCAGCTGCTATAACCTGATTGATTTTTCTGTAGTTCACGCAGAATCGCAACGTTTCGTCCTTCTTCCGCACGGGTATCACCAGACTACCCCACGAACTGTTGCTCTCACGTATTACTCCTCGACCTAAGTAATCTTGCAACATAGCTCGAACTTGCGTCCTCAGTGCTAATGGAATGGATCTC